GATTATATATTTAATTAATAATAAATAATAAAAGATTTAAGTTAAAATTAATAAATATTAAATAATAATATATTTTTTAATAAAGATAAATAAATAAAATTTAAAATTTATATATTATAAAGCAATTTAATCATTTAGTCATTTGCTAAAAGTTTAGTTAAAGATTTAAACTTTAGTAGAGATTTAGTTAAATATAAAATTTGATGAAAGTTTAATTATGATAAAAATAATTTATGCAGGTATTATTACCCTTATTGATAAGTTAAAAACTAATATAAAGCATATTTTTCAAGGTAATAATGCTTTTGTTTATCATACAAAAGCAGTTAAGAAATGAATAAAAAAAAAATGAAATAATAAATATTTATAACCTATACAGTTATCTTATTTTAATCTAATTGAGTATCTGTGAAATGTTTTAGAAAAAAGATCTGTAAATATAAGTCATATTCAAAAATATTTAATAAATTAATGATTATTTTAAAGAAAAAATGGTATGAAATTGAATCAGAAATTTAGTAGAAAATATATTAAGAAAGATTTAAATTGTAATAAATAGCAATAGTAATCTGATTAAATATTAATTTTATAAATAAAAAATTCAGAATAAAATAAAAAAAATTTATTTAAATTTACTTATTAATTTTTTTTATAATTAAAATTGATCATTAAATTTAAAAGTCATGATAATTTTTTTTAGTCTAATACTTTTGACTAGAAAGTATACATTTAATTTATATTTAATAATTTATTATTATCATTCAAATGAATAATAAATTTTTTATCATTTGATTATATTAAATAATCTATTACTATCATTTAGAATTAAATAATAATATTTATTATTTAATTTATATTAAATGATCTATTATTATCATGATATTTTTAAATTATTTAATTATTAAATAATTCATTATTATCTTTTAAAATTAAATAGTTAATAATTTATCAAATTAGTTATTGATTTTATCAAATTAAATCTATTTTTAAATTTTAATTGTAAATTTTATTTTATTAATTAACTTTAAATTTATTAATATAACAATTTGATTTAACATTTTCTTTTTTTTTAAATTCTTTAATTTTAAATCTTATTACTTTTATTTTTAAGAATAATCAATTATTATCATTTTAATCCACAATTTCTTAAATTTTATTATAAATTTTAAGAATAATATAATATAATCAGCTAAATTAATAGCTATTTTTAAATCTTTTATAAATTTTTTTTTAAAGCTTTAAATCTAATTTTTAATTTATCAAATTTATATTTTAAATAATCATATATTGAATAAAATTAAATTGAAGTTATTTATAATTAGAAAAGTTTTAAAAAGAGATATTATAAAAAATTAAATATATTGAATCACTTTAGCATATAATCTTTATCTTAAAAATATTTAGTTTTAATAAGATAAAAATTTAAATTTGTATAAACTCATATATTATATACTGATTTAGGATATTTTATTGTATATCTCTTTTTTTTGTAAAAAATGCTATTAGATTTTGTGTATTTTATTTAAAATGAAATAAATTCTATTATTATTTTAATAATATATTGAAACTAATATTATGCAATACTATATGAATCACTATTTAATTATTATCTTTAGGCTATTGAATACCTTATACAATCAGAATTTGATATAATAAACCTGTTAGTTTGATGATTTTGATTTGTTATAATGAGGATTTAGAATAATGAGTTTTTCTTGATATATTATTTTAAATAATAAAAAAAATAAAGTTCGTTATATTAAATTTTTACAATAAATGCAATATAGTTATTATTTGTTTATTATTTATTATTTGCATGTTATATGTTATACTATTTCTTATTTGTAAAATTTAAGAACAAAAAAAATCTAATTGAAACTAATATTGTGACTGAAATTGATTTTCATCTGAAGTTAGAATTCAGACGTTCTTTGAGTGTCTAAAATTAAAATTCAAAGATCAGTTAACAGAAATTGGAATTCTAATTTCAGATACCCTTTTTATTATCTGAATTCCAATTTCAGTCATGATCTTATTGGTCAATTTCTGTGTAACTATTTTAATTTCAGTTAAATTCTAATTTCAGATACGAGACCATCTGAAATTGGGATATCTGAAATTGAGCTTCAGATAGAATCTGAATTTCAGACACGAGACCGTCTGAAATTAGGATATCTGAATTAAACTTCAGATAGAATCTGAATTTCAGATACAAGGCTGTCTGGAATTGAGTTTCTATCTGAAGTTCAATTTCAGATAAAATCTGGATTTCAAATACAAGGTCATCTGAAATTAAGATATCTGAAATTGAACTTCAGATAAAATCTGAATTTTATACAAATTATGTATTTATAAATTAAAATTAAAGTAATATAAAGAATATATTATCTGTACATAAGCAATTTATTTTATTTAATAAAATTTTTATAATTTTTAAATGTTTCTTTATTTATTTTTCTTTATTATAATAAAAATAATTAAAATTTTAAAATAGTTTAAGTAAATTTATTTTAAAATTCGTCTTCAGCTTCAAAATTGAATAATTATACAGATATCTCGTAAAGATAGGAGTTCCTTTTCTATTTGCTTTCTACTGTTTTAAAAGAAAGTGAATGTATTTTAACATGTGAATAATTATTTTTTGCTTTTTCAGGTTTGATCACTTAAGTCTAAAGTTTAAAAAAAAAAACCTGAAAATTAATAAAATCACTTATTTAACTAATGCAACACCAGAATAAACTTAAAAAAAAGAATACTTATTTGTTAAAAAAAACTAAATAAAAATAAAATCGAAATTAAAAATTAAAAAAGAGAAAGTAAAAAATAAAGTAACATTAAAAAAAAAAAATATTGGAAATTAATGCTACAAAATTTAATAAATAAATGCTGTAAAATTAATTATAATTCAGCTAAAAACTAAAGTCTAAAAATAAAAAATTTTAAACTGTATTTATGAAATTGTAAAAAAAATTTGACATATTATAATTGGTTAAAATAGTTTTTATAAGTTATCTGAAGTTGAAATTCAGATAACAAAAAAAGGTGTCTGAAATTGGAATTCTAATTTCAGTTAACTGAACTTGGAATTTCAATTTCAGACATCCGAAGATTATTTGAATTTCAACTTTAGATAAAAATCAATTTCAGTCACAATAATATGATAAATTGAATTAAAATTGATACCTATCACTAAAATGACAATAGTATTTTTATTCAAATATTTAAATAAAAGTGAAAAGTACTTTTTAGACTAAAATACTTTTAAGAAAAATTTACCTCCAATTTTATTAAATTGATTACATTTTTCGCTATTGGCAAACTTTAAATTATTTTTCAATAATAAGGCAGGACCTTGATATTTATCAAGTTTTAAATTAAACTTTTTATAATTACTCAAAATAGAATTGATTAAATGATTTGAAGGATAAGTATTATGATTCAATATGAAGATTTGTTCAGTGCTCTTCGCATTATCAGAATTTTGAAGAATTTGAGAACCTTTAAGATATTCATCAAGAATACTGCTTAGACTGTAAGTATAAAGTTCTTGTGAATTAAATTCTTCACCAATTTCTTGCATCATTGCTAAATTTTAAAATATCAAGAAAGAAGTATCAGATTGATATTTATCATGTTAAAAAACTTGAACATAATTATTTATAATAAATTTAGGGAATCAAGATTACAAAATTAATTCAGAATTTTATTATACTATTTATGATTTGTGTGTTCAAATAAGATTAAACTAAAGGTTTTCAAAAAGTTTAAAAAGGAAAAATTCAAAATTAATAGTGATGCAAAGAAACATGTGATAAGATACAACATAACTTTTTTATAACTTTTGTCATAAAATAAGTTAACTCTAGTGATGATCATGAAATTTTAGTTTAAAAAATAGCTTGATTTGATTTTTGTTTTTTCATATTACAAAAAAAAATAAAATGACATAATCAGTTTTTAATATAAGAAATTTTGCAGTAAATTTTTTTGTAAAATTGATGTTATTACTTTTTCAAAGATCTCTCAATTTGTTATTTCATTATGTCATATTATGTAGAATTATTTTTTTCTGACCTCATTAAATTTAATTTACGTAATGGACTTATATATTTATATCTCTATTTCTTAATCTTAACGTTAAGATAACATTAAAGCCTTTAAAATTATCTTATATTTTCCATTCATAAATTAAGATGGCGTATGATAATACAGCAAGTAAGCTCTATTGAAATTATCTTTAATCAGTCGAGTTTAAAATTATTAAAACTCATAAATATAACATAAATAAGAATAGTTATTTCATTATTTTTCATTATATCATTTTAAAATAATATATTATATATAAACTAGTTAGTATCTATTGTGCTGCAGGTTAAGAAAATAGAATTATTAATAATTAAATTATAATAGAATTTTTAGGGTTTTTTTTATTTATTAAGTTATAATATAAAAAGTGTTTATTTATTGATTAAGTGATAAAATGTATAATTATATATTTAAATAAATTATAATGTATTTTTAGAATAAAATAATTAAAAATAAAGAAATTCTAAAATATAATATGTATAATTTATTTTATTTTATTATTTAGGATTTAAGTACTTTATTATGTACAATATTTTTTGTTCGATAGATTTTTCATTATTTATAAAATCTCTAATATTTTAATATAAGGTTATAATTGATCATATAAAAAAATAGGTTCAGAAAGATAAATATTAACTTGATTTA